CGTTCAGACTGTCATAAAAAAATCGGATATGAGTCAGATGGGTCGAAAAAATCGGATTTGGGTCGGATTTGCCTGCAGTGTGAACGTAGCCATAGACACGAAAGCTGATCWACAACTTAAAACAATTTTATAAAAACTCAAAACTGTACAATAATGATTTTTATGACAATGTTCATCTAGTTTTTAATTTCCTATATTTCATTCATGAGAAGGTAGAAGTATTTGTACGTGGTTGTAGTTATGGTATATTTAAATACATGCTTACGTTAAAATAAACATTACAGTAATATTACAGATTAGAGATTTTATTCTGAAACTTTGGACCCAAATTTGTTCCAGAACTTTATTCTCTGGATTATCAAACTGTTATGGTTAAAGTTTCTGTTAAAGGCTTTCTGTGAGGACTTGTGGTAAAAAATTCCCTTTTATAAGATGATCCTATTAAATACATGTTAATAACCTCAAAAAGATGAAAGGATTCAAGGCCTAATCTCTCATTGACTTCATTTTTAATTTGACTAAAACAAGGTTCTCCTTCACATCTTCGCACCCTTTCAAAACTTACCCAGCAAGGGACAATGTATGATCCAAAGGTTAAGTTTCTATAAGTTTCAACATGAAAGCTGAACAGCATGTTTAATTCCAGACAGGAAGATGTTACCCAGCTGGAGGAAATTACTGCCACATACAGTATATGTCTGCCTAAAGCAATTACCCAGGTCACAATGTCTAATTAATGACAGGACCCTGGATAACAAGCATTTTACAATTAGAGGGCTCTCCAACAAGGCTGTGTGATTAACAATTAGAACCTATTATAACACAGGTTCCTCAATTAATACTTGCCATGAAGCATGATGTGAAGGCAGAGGAAAAAAAGAGATGAAGAAGAGCCAAAAATGTAAAAACTGTACATGTAAATAAAGATATGATGCTCACTGTGATTTACATTTGTATTCATACTGTACATCTCTGGATTCCAGTTTTCACACTGGTGTGTGAAAACTGGTTTCACACACTGATAAATTGTAAAGAAAACAATATTTTGCTGTCAGACGTGAACAATCAGCTGGTAATAAGATCTGACATCCATCAGGCATGAGGAGATGATTCCTGATAACTCTGACCTGAGATCACCCACTGACACGTTTTAATGACACTGCAGAGTCTAAACACACACGTCACAACAACGATACACAGATGTTTCTTTTTACTGTGCAGCCTCTCACACAACTCATCATAAGCCAGGGCCTTTGTCATCATTGTCTCTATGCATCAAACCTCATATTACTCATGTATTCTTCCTAAAACTCCTCCTAACTGAAAAAAAAAAKCAAGCATATTCCTGCCTGTTTCTCTCAGCACCTTCGCTGTACTTTCCCAGGCCCCTGCAGCTTCTCGCCACCCCCAAGGACCATGTTGTAATTGTTCCCCGAAGTGTGTGCAACAATCTTCCTTCTACAGCTTTCAACATTTAAGCTCTGGCTCTGTCTTCACTCTCTTTCTCTTCTTTGTAACTCATCTCATTTAGTAAAACAATCATCCTGCACTGTCTTGCTGCACTCTCCCCTGGCACCACCTTACTTTGTCTAATCTCTGTCAGGTGCTGTCTCCTGCTAAAGAAATAATCCACC